AATAAAATATTAAAAATATCTACACTTTTACATTAAAGCGCCGATTTCGAGGCATGTGCATCGTATGAAAATGGTACGAGTTGCAGTAATTGCCCAGAAGGAACCCATTGCAAGAACAATTTGTGCCATGCTGACTCTGGCAACTAGACAGAAAGTGCAAAACTGTCAATGAATGAACCGATGACACTTCCATGTTACTTTCAAATTAAATAATTAAATAGAATTGGTTTTATTTGTTTGTTTCATTCATTATGCACATCCGATATTATTGTTTTATCAGTGATTGGGTTATTTATATGTTTATTTTTTGAGATTCACGTTGTATAACAGCAAATCGCTTGAGAATATATAGATAAAGTACAAGTTATTCCAATACATCAGGCGCAGGAGATTTTACATTTCATTTTACATTATAGTGTTCTTCTGACAAGTTGTCCCCTCTCTGTTGCTGTAGCTATCCGTGCGTAAGCGAGATAATAGTCAGGGTTGAACAGGAGAAAAGAATTAGTTTTATGAGATTAAGTCGATAAACTTGAATTATTACCTTGGTAACAAGTAGTAGAGATCATTTGAATATCATACTGAACTAGCATTTCCAGTAAGAACTTGAATACCACTTACACCCTGTTATATTTCCAACTTTTAACGGCCTTTCTTTCTCTCAATATTTATGCAATATACATTGATTGATGTAACAGCGCTGTAAACGTCATGGAAAACTCTAATAATTTCTCACAATCAAATGTTAATCAATCGCACAACGATATCCCCATCATTGATCGATAGTAAATTCAACTGTGCACTCAAGTTGCATTTACAATAGTTACGTTGAAAAAAACAAAGTTGCCTGAAAAGTAGTTATTTATAAAAGCTGTGTGAGTTTGAATAAGCGAAATTAGATAAAAATAATTTTAAACCAGGTACTTTGGAAATTTACAAATTCCACATTATGGTTTCTCAAACCAACTTTAGTACTTTATACCAATTACTTCATTTTAATGAAAATTTGAACTTAACTAACCATACAATTAACTGTGTAAAAGTTGGGTTAATAAGTACATGACGAGTTTAGAGGGTGAAAAACAGGCTAGAGAATTTGATGGAACTCTTGATGAGGCTCTTTGACTGCGCATGGTTGGTGGAGTGGTGGGTATTGATGTGTGAACTAACCACGAGGAGGTCCACTCAACTTCTGCTAAATGAGCTGAAAAGCTTTGTTGGACGTTTCATTGAATGACTATAGAAGTCACTTCCTTTGATACAAATAGAATGGAAGAGTTTTCCAATCTGCCTCAAACAAATTTAGTCACTCTAATTTTAAAAATCTAGCATTTGAAAAGTACCTATTATAAGTAAATTTGCGAATTGATTGCTCAGCCAGTAACTAGGCGGCATACATTGTTGCATTCAAAGCTGGGAAATCAGTTGTACATTTATCAAAATCATTAACTCACACACCACATTACCGGTTCATTTATCTGATTTAAATCTAATATTATTAGACCAAGCAACAAGCATCAAGAATTTTGATTCTAAAATATCACATATGTAAATGGAGGCTTCTGAAATCGCCTGAAAGAACTAAATCATTTGAAAGAATTCAAATGCATTCCGTAGCGAATATTCAGAGTACTCTTTTATAACTTCTGCAATGCACTTGGTTTGTTGTTACTTATTCTGCATATTGACCCGCGTCATATAAAGTTAGGCTTTGAGCAATCACTAATAGCCATGATATTCCTATTCTGTGCCATCACTTATTTTCTGCTGAACATTTGCATTCAAACTTTAACAACAGAGATCGAGATTTGCCAATAGAGATAACTGGATAACAGGATATCATACTGAACTTTATTTCTAATTTAAATTTTAAAAAAAATCAAATGCTGTTGAATGGGCACTTTTTTAATTCTCCACTCTATCACGCTTCCATTTCATAACAATATTTTTCACAATATGCATTGATTGAATAATTATCTCTACAATAATCGATTTATTGCTTGTGAGCATTATAATACTAACAATAATAATACTAATATGGCAAACTCTGATAAAATAGTGGTATTGGATATGCATAATGAATTAAACAAACTGTCAAAAATCATTTAGTCAAAATAATTAATTTATGTGCTCTTGAGAGATCAGGTTGCTTATATTTCTCATTTCATCCCTTTAATCACATGTTTTTAACTGTCTTAAGGCCATTTCTATTCGTAATATTTGTGCGATTAGTATTGATTGCATACGAATCGACATAGTAATACGAAAAGTAATCATTATTATACGACTAACTCTTACAAATTACCTAAATTGAAAACAAACAAACAAACTATTAATTAACTTAGTTCGTTTAAAAGTCTCATATAATTGTCATTGAATGGCAGACCCATACCTTATCCTCCCTAGGTGTGAGCATGGCACACTTTGTCACCCCATTTTGTTCCTGTAGGACACCCCTTTTGTAAACTAAAACAAAAAAAGTACACAATTTAAGAATTTCATAAAAGGAATTTCAATTTGGCAATAGATTATTTCGTGAAAATCTTACAGTACTCCATACCGGTAAACACACAGATATATATATATATATATATATATATATATATTGCGGATAATTGTTATCACCCAACACCGTTTAAAGGGTCCCAATTCATCTCGTTATAAAACCTTAAAATGCTTATGAATCGGAAAGTAATTAAACGTCAAACTAACTCAAGTTCATGAAATGGAGACTGAATTGTCCGCTTTCACAATTGTTAAGATCGAGATTGCAGAATCGCATATCCATGAGCCATTTAAAGATAATTTGTCAATAGAGATACCGTGAGTTACATAAGTACTTCGTCGTTTCTCGTATCATTTTGTCTGTTTGAGCAGATTTTTCAGCCAAGGCTTCCCATGTGTTTTTATATTTCTGTTGAACTGGATTAATTCATGAACGAGAATATTCACTCAAATTGCAAATTTTTTTGAGAAATTACTATTGCTAGCATATTCGACGTCACAACGAACACGATTTTCATTGTCTTTGATTACTGATTCAAATTGGAGCGTGCAAGAGTAAAGAAGGGGTAGAAATAAACCAGCAAGTAGATCGTTTTTTGCATATTGCATATTAGTCGCCTGAGAACGTGTGCAAAGTCTCTTATATGCTGCAGTTCAATTCAATGATAAATTTCTGCACAATAATTCGCTCCGAACACAGCACATTACTGCCTCAAATTCGCTGGCATTTTAACATGCATGAGAGCGTTTAAAGTAGAAAACAACTATATAAAATAGCTTGTTGTATGACTCACTGTTGGGAAGTAAAGTTTTGAGATTCGATATGTGAGTTGTAAATTCTAGGAGTGATAGTTGACAGTGTAAATACTATGAAGTATCTAAGCAGTGAAAAAGATTGACACCTTCAAAAAACAAGGTTATCTTAAGGAAGAAACATCACAGAAATCTGTAATCATTAGCGTATCTGCTGAGAATGTTTGACACATTTGCATGTTGATTGATCCCCTCGCTTAAAGCGTATACGTCGGCAACAGCAAGATATCCATCCTTAATCGACCTATTTTTTTCTATTGCAATTTCATTATGTGAGAATATTGGCATTTCATTTTTTTTGCTGAATATGTCACCCAATATTTCTGACTGCCCAAAACGCAACTAGAATTAAGCAATAAAATGCCTGTTTCAATGCCCAAAAAATCAAGAGCATTCACCTGAAATGCAAATATTTCTAATATTTGCGATTTGTTTAACATACATAATGAAATTAGATTTATGATAATCAGTTTCTTTTGTAAGTGGCGAATCCAAATACATCTTATATTAAGGTTTCTTAATTAAACTTTAGTACATAAAACCAATTATTCCATTTAAATGAAACTATCAATATAAGTACCAATACAATAAACCTAGCACAATTGACGCGATTTTAGGCTTATCAAGTATGGAGGGTGGGAAAGAGACAAGAGGTACCTAAGAGACACCCACTGAGACCCAATGCCTGTGTATGATTGGTGAAGAAGCAGTTGGTGTACTCCACATCTCTCATCACCAACAAGAATGCGAGGAGTGTGATTGGTGATGTGCAAACTAACCTCGACATATATTCATCACAAGCTTTATTGAACGACTTGTTGAATGCCTGTAGAGGACAGTTTTTTGATATGAAAGGAATGCAATAGTCATTCGATCAATACCTCGTTCACATGAATAGTCTTACATTGATCTGTTTTTATTTTGAAAAATGAGTGATTTAACGTACCTGTTGATAATGGGACTCGCGAATTGATTCCAAGTCCCTGCTTTTAATACAAAATTATATATCAATATACTATTAATAATCCTTTTGCTGGGGTGGGATTACCTTATTCAAATCTCGGCATTTAAAAATTTTCATTTATTGATCTTCCAGATATTTCAGGTCATTCCTTTGAGGATATGAATTCCTCAATTTCATCAAATTGCCTTATCCTAGGATAAAATGAAACCCTATGTATTGCACCTATTCCATTTAGAATTAATGATGCTTAAGTTTTATCCCTAATTTAGCACATCATTCAACGTTAGCGCAATATCGTTTGCATAGTTGTACTAATCCAATGATTTTCAAATTCTTACTATTTATTCTATTTTCTTTATGCAACTTTCATTTCTCACATTCCCATACCTCGTATTCATTAATGAACCTCCCCCCCCATACCCTCCAGTTAGAGACTGCACTTAAACTAGTTTAAGGTCGATCAGTGTACGTGAAGTTGACGGGTAATGAAAGACCATTCCGGCAAAATGTCAACCATTGTGCCTTTCCATTCACACAGACGTGGTTATTAAAAAGGCACTTCAATTAACAAAAAACCAAGGCCGGAAAGTTACATTTGTAAATGTTAACTTCACAAACAGACAGTTTAATAAAAAGGTTTTATTCCGTAATTGCTAAAAACCAATTTTGGCTATTAAGATGAATTTTGTTCGTGATACCGATATTCAAAGTCCTGCCTTTACTCCTCCATCTCGGCCATTGACAGGCTAAAACGTCGAATGAAACAATGGAGTGTCTCATACTCCGCACCATTGAAATAGATCAATTGTCTGCGAAGAAGCAGAGCTCTTGTACGAAGCCCACCAATCAGTTCAGTTATCTCCTTGTACTCCGATGTTGTCGACTGAACTTCTGAACTCAAACTTTTGCTAGCTTGCTTAATGTCTTGCATAAGGGTATTAAAATTGAAGGACTAAAACTTCATTGTCGACAAATTTCACCTGTTTGAGATTAAAAGAGCAAAGGTGAGTATGATATATAAGTAAAATAACAAAAATGCATTTTATTAATATATTGTGGGACACGTCATCGCATGCCTGCCCGTCAATATTGGGAGGTGCGACCGTACAAACAGTGACCAATCATTAACTGGGAGGTGCGACCGTACAAACAGTGACCAATCATTAACCTCTGTTTGATTAACCAAATCCGCCATCTTGATCGTGATTAAGCTTCCTGTGTTACACTTTATTCGCGATACTCGTACTGAATAAACGTGCTCCGTGATATGCTCCTGTTTCCTTTATATCTGGGCTATAGCTTAGCTAGTTCTGGGAGCCTAGCTAGATGTAAGAGAATCTGCCACAGAGATTTCTGAGTCAGTCAGGCCTTACTAAGATAGCAATCCGCTACAAGGCAGAAGCGTTTTGTCTGTTATAATAGTCAAATCATCTGAATATTTGTAACCGAAGGAGTGTGAATTCCACCAAAAAATTGAGGTTTTTGGTGAATTTTAGTAGCCTTCAATCACATAGAAACAATAAAAAATTTTAAATTGTAGTAAGTCTTTCTTGATCTAATAAATTAGCATTTAAATGGATGAATAAACCGATATTGTGATGATCGTATTGATTTCGCCTAAAACTGTAGAATTTATTAAATGACTTTGAATAAAAATGTATATGCTGCCTAGGTGCATGTCATAATAGAAAGAAACCATTCAAAATTTGCAACCATTTTAGCTATAAATGAAAGGCAACAAAATTTTTATTCTCATTGATTAATGTCCTATATGGGAAGTAAGGTATTGAAAGCAACTACCACCCTTTAATTTGAAAAGATATGAATGTAATGATGTTCATATGTTTACGATAGATTGGAAGACTGTTTCAAAACAAGTGTCCTCTATAGTTATTCAACAAGTCTTCCAGCGAAGATCTTCACAGCTTCAGCTCGTTTTGCTGAAGATGCGAGGACCCACTCGTGGTTAGTTAGCATATCACCATCTTCATTCATCACAACCTCGTCGGTAATGAAAGACATGTCGAGCACGAATTGCATCATTACCAATCATACGAA